GCATTACTTATTTGAACTGAAAGAATGCTAAACATTTTAAATGTTAGTCTTATATGTAAATTTGACATTAAGTATATGTCCATGACATAGGGCGTTGATTTAAAAAATGTTTCCCTGAATATATTTTTATTTTTGTACGTCTCTGAACAGAACAGAATAAATGATTTTTCTATTTAAAATTTTAATTTACTAGTTATCATGTGCAGTGACAATATTACTTAAAGTCTTAGTATTAAAGTAGTTCCAAGCAGTTTTCAAAATTATAATTGGAATATGTTAAAATCAGCAGTTCAATAATGTACTAACATGTTTCTCCTAAAACTCTTTAAGTATTTGAGCAACTTTTGCTGTTGCATAAAATTATGCAACTTCTGTCCTTATTCTTATACACAAATAGCAAATAAAAAATATACACAACTATTTATTATTATGAAAACACCCATACAGTATTTTTCAAGCTCAATTGAGGGTCCAATACAATATTGTCTCTGTACGTAGAGAAATCGAGTAAAATGTTCTTTTTATTCTTTAAATAAATTCTCAAACTTAAGTAAAAGTGTTTTTTTAAAGTATGTCTTGTTATTTAAGACTAGAAGACAATGTGATTGCAACAAGAACAGAAGCCACTTATAACTTTAAAGAAAAAATTCTGAAAATTTTTTGGAAAAATTCCAAAGTGTACTGATGAATTCTGGTTTTTTTTTTATATTAAACAATTAAGTACAAACTTTTTTTTCAACTTCGCCCATCTCAAAGAAAGTAATGGTTTTGTCAGCTAGTGTATGATTTCAAGAGCAATCAAAATTAATTATGAAAACTGTTTTGTTGTTTTTTTTGTATTGGTTGAAAAAGAACGAGACTAAGGTACTCAAAAATTTAATAATGAATCTCTTGATTTTATGTATTTTTGGAAATAAATGTAGCAAGTTGTTCTAAAATTTTAATTTTTATTTTTCTTCTACAGAATCTTAAAATTTTAAAGTTTTATGAGGTTTTTAGCTTTAGTTTGTATTGTTACGACTTAATAATTATTATTAGTTAATCGTGAAATAACCGCCACATTGGAGTAAACGTGAATGCTATTCAACAACTTATTATAGAAAGTAATTGAGAACTGATAAGAACATTTTATCTTAAAAGCACATGGGCGTTGTTTTAGTGTAGTTGTGCGTACATCCTTATTAAATTTTCTTGTTAGAAGAAATCAAAAAACTCTAAAAATATCAATTACTATTTTAAATTTAAAAGTAATTTAATACTTCAGAAATTTAAGAATCTTCTATAATTAAGATAATTTTTCACCAGAAATTTGCACTTAATTAAAAGTAAATTAGCCTTATTAACTTAAAATCGGGATTCAACTAAACGAATATTACTTAATACTAAAGAGAAAAAAATATCAGTAATAATATTAGTGTAGTAGACACAAATGTGGTTGGTTGTTGTCAAATATATTATCAACTACTATGGTCTGTATATTAAACATATTATAACCATTATATGTGCAGTATAACACCAAAATACTGTGTGTAAGTAATATGTTATTTTGAGTCATTTATTGCTAACCCAAAACTGAGTACCCTTCTTTACAATTCCAAGGATACTTGTAAACATAAGTTAAAATTCTTCGAAAAATGTAAATTTACCTCTTAGTAAAGTTTTGCATTATGCCATTCGAATTCACCGAAAAATTCGTCAGACAACTTCAGTAACAACGTGAATTTAAACATTAAATTTCAAGAAATCCCTAGCTCGGTTTCTAAGCCCTGATCTTTCCAAAAAATTAAGTAATATGCTATTTTTAATCATTAATTGCTAGCCCAAAACTGAGTACCCATTTTTGTGTAGAAACAACAATATTGTTCTCCTTTCAGTTTTACAACACTGAAATTCTGCTGGAACACAGTCCCTGTAGTCCAGTTCTCGCCGTCCCTGATTTTTTTCTTGTTGGTCTTACATATATATTCAAGCTGTTAATTGATAAATATAATAACAATGTCGAAATTTGCAAATTTAAGAAAAGAAACCTTTAAAGAGGTATAAAAGTATAATATACAGGACTGAATATAATCATACAGAGAAGATAACCAAAGTATAAAAATGTTATAAATAATTTGTTCGATAATGACAACAACAACTTTGTTAGTAATAATTGATTACAATCTTGATCATCAAATTCACTTAATAGGATTCACAAGTATTAAAATCCTTCATCATGACTTTTACTATTTCGATTTCATCCTACAAGTTTCGAGTTGGGAAATTGAACTCACTATAGAGATATAAAAATATATGATTATATAATTGAACAAATATTGTGTACCTACGTAAAGGATAAAAATACTCTTGAAATGTCAAACAGCAAAAAGAAAACAAAATTTTCACACAATATCTTGGAGAATTTTTGATGTACAAGGATAATTATGTATGATATTGTTTTGACAGTAAAGATTTTCCACTTAATAGAAAAAATTTATTCTAAATTCTCTTTCCATTTTATTTTTCTATTTTCTTAAACTATTTATTCAATTTTATTTATTTATTTTTCTAAATAAGCTTCTATTACTACTTCATAGTTCGATTGTTATAAATGAAAAATAGGATAACATTTTTAAAATGCCCAATTGAATTGAATTTCTATTCTGAGCAAGTTTATCTGAAATAATTTAAAAATCTCAAGTTGGAATATTTTTTTTATTAGAGAATATCTAAGAAATTTAAATAAAAACATCATCAATTTATGCATATTTTCTTATAAGGAGAATGAATTATATTTAGAATGAATATATTAAACCTTTTATACATATGTATGAATACTGGAGTGGACTGTATAATGTATTGGTATGTGTGAGTGTGTGAAATATTTGAAATTTTGTTTTAGGTCTATTATTGTTTATAAATGAAAAACTTATGTATTCGGAGAGGAGAATGGAAATATATTCTTATGGAAATTTTTTATTTAATAAATTTTTGAATGAGAATTGAATTTAAATTTATTGCCAAATTGTTAATAATTTCAATAATTTGACCTATAACAGTTTTCCATTATTAGTCATTGTTGCAAGGATTCACAATAAAATTTAAAGTTTTTTGTTTTTCTACTTTTAAAAAAATTTTATGAATGTTTTGAAAAGTAAATGGTGAAAGTAATTTACAAATACCTTAATTATAACAATATAGTTTTAGATTTCTGAAAATCTTGTAAGTATTTAAGTTAAAATTGATAAAATTTCGTTAACTATTTAGTTTTAGCTTCAGTACCTTGGGAACATGTTCAGTTTAATGGAAATTTCTTCATGCAACTGCAGAACAGATAGATGACGTAATCAAAGGAACGAGTTAAAAGCAGAAAAATTAATTAAAAAAAAATTTTTTTTCTCCTCGAACTGGACTCGAACCAGTGACCTACCGCTTTCTAGGCAAACGCTCTACCAACTGAGTTACAGAGGCATGAAGAAATTGCCGACGAAATGTTCTCTACATTGCTTATACTGTAATTCACATGATTACTAAGTATTTGTTTACATTGACTGCTACATACAATCTACTATTGAAACACTCAATAACAAGAACATATATATTTATAGGTTTTGTGCTTATTACTTATTAATTTCACAACTATGATGTTGTATTAGTAAAATTCAGGTTATACATATCTTAGCTATAATTTTGAATTGGTTTTAAACTTGTATAAGACTCCATTAAGTACGAGTTTAACTTAACTTATTACCATTACCTCTTACAAAACATATATGCAAGATATGCAGAAACTTATATAACAGTTCTTTCAACTATACTATGCGTTAATATTTTATGTGCAGACATTAAACTTATAGTCAACTTAATGATCACATGAACAAAATTGCGGACTATTTGTAAGCTTTGTGCTTATTTAATACGAGATGTGCTGAAAATTTAATTAAATCACTTACACTTTTTAATGAATTGGCACCAACACATTGTAATGACAGAAGGATGAATTATTCTAATCTATAAAATGAGGTTCTATTTGTGAATCTGAATTTGTTTATCTCAGCTTATGGTTCTTCTCACATTAGATTTGTATGTGAGTTTTTTAACTGTTGCCGATCAAATGCCGACCAAATTTTATGCTTGTGATTTAGAAATTTTATAGAAACTCCAAAAGTTTTATAGAAACTCATCGAATTGAATTTTTTCAAACGTTGATTGAATAAAAATGTTGTGTTGTATACAATAGGGATTTAATTTCTGAAAAAAAAAAATTATTTTTAAAAATTCACCATTAAAAAAGTCAATCAAAGTCATTCAAAATTTTACAACATTTTTTTATAATCAATATTAAATTTTAAAATCAATTTTAATGCTAGATTTTCAATAAAAAATATTAAATTTCTTTATTGTCAATAAATTTTTAATCCAGAGCTAGATTGCACAGTTTAGATTTATATTAATGAACTCATTTATCTAACTAATCAAGAAAATATTCAATATTCTTTAAAATAAAGAAAGAACAAGAAAAAAATTCATAAAATATTACCATTTATTGCTATCCTTAAATTTTCCTTGATTTTATTGCATTGTTTTTAGAAATTTTGAGTTATAAATTGAATACTAAAATTGAGGATTTCAAGGTTGTCGTCTTTGTATTCTTTGAATCTTTTATGGTATTTTATTACATAAGCATAATTACAACAAAAATTTCCTCTAGTCCCTTTTTAATATTTTTTTTTCTTTTTTTTCTACTTTGACATTTCACTTCTTATCTGATTTTAATAAAGATAAATTTAAAGATTTTATTTTTGAAATTATTTTTGATATTTTGTTATACTACTTAGCACAAACATTGTATCCATTTCTAGAATAAAACAAAATTCTCTTAAGGCTGCGGCAAAAAACAAAAAGTAAAAAAGGTTTTGAAATGGGTTCCGAAATCAAAATACTTACTGTAGAAAATATGACAAAAAAATTCATGAAACATAATAAAAAATATCTTTTATTTTTTTTTTTTGTCATTTCAGGTATGTGTGGGACGTTGTGAACTTTTCAATTTTCTTAGTTCTGGATTTATGTAGGATAAATTACTTATGGTGTACTTATATTATGGCAAGTAAGCATTGAAACTTTGTATAAATAATTGAAATTAGTCACAGGTTTTTTATATGTTGTTTTTAAATTAAAGTTATTTTGTGTTAAAAAATTTAAAATAAAAAGTTTGATTAATTTGAAAAAGTTTATTTGACTCTAGTTTTGATGGGTCCGTAAAGTTTAGTCTTTTGTTTTTGAAGTTGTGGTCAGATATTTACAGAATTTTTAATGGCTGGCCTATTATTGCACATTCGTAAACTTGTTTTAATTTTGGTCAATGATTTTTGTAAGACTTCCCAAAGGAGGTAAGGTCTCAATTAATAGAAAAAATTTTCTAGATTTTCTTACAGAAACAAATAAGAATCTTAATTTTTCGTCAATAATTTTTTTAAGCTGTACTATGCAAATTAAAATTTTCTTCGGAAAATTGCTTATTATTGATAACGCATTTTTGCAAACTGCCCCTAAAGGGCATTTATGCACTTTTGAAAACTGCCCCTAAAGATATGCAATTTTCTATTTTGAATAAATGAAGTAAAAATTAAAGTTCTATTCAAATGAAAAGTTTTCCATGCATTTTTTTGTTACCAAATGATTTATCAATAAAATATCTTTAGCAATAAATAATATAAGTATGTTTTACTTAACATTAACGTTGAATTTGCTTATTTTATTTCCTCATGCACAGTCAAACACGCTTAATATCAATCCTGTTTAATATCACAACCCGGTTAAATTCAAAATTTTTTGAGAAAAGAAGATTTTTATGTAGTTTTACAAATACTCCAACTCACTTAATAGAAATTTTCTTAAAATCAAGTAAATCTTCACATCAAAATATCAAATTTCATTCAATTTCGCTTTCTTCAAATCAAGAGGAACAATTCTCACTTTTTGCCAATTACGATTTACGCTTGCCTTTATTTTCAGTTTTTCTACCTGTTTCAATAAATATAATCTGGTATTATAAACCATCCTTTTTAACTTAATATGGTTATAACCCTTGCTATAATTTTAATAAAAACTATATTATGAGAATGATCTGACTTTTAGACTATTTTCTTATTAATAACATGGAATCAATGAAAATTAATAAAAATTACGAATATTCCTTTATGTCCCTTTTTATTAGACTTGATAAGAATTCCAATTGAAATTTCGTATATTATGAAATATTGAAACAGAAGTCCATTGGGGTTTTTAATTGTTCTATTTATTAATATAGATTATTATTATTAATGGTTTTTGTGGCTATAAATAAAATTTTATGAAAAAAAAATCATTCAATTAAATTTTTTCTTAATCTTTATAATTGCACATGGTTGCCGAAACATTATTGATAAACAGTAATTTTTTCCTAGTATCCATTGAATTATTCAAACATTTTCAAACACACTTTCAATTTTTTCAAAACATACAGGGTGTATACACTTGCGAAGTATTGTGGGAACATGTATAACACTACTTATGTGTTTTATTTCTTAGTTATTGCTCCTTGTCAATTTATTGATTTTGTGAAAATTCTTCTTCTTCAAAAGTGTAATTTCTTTACATATTTGCAATTAGACTTAAAGAAATTAAAGAGGTAGACAAATTTCATAGATTATTTTAGAAGCCCTTGGAATCCTCTATTTAACAAAACCTTTCATGGAGTATTTGGTTGAGAATAGAAGTCATTTTCTTTCAGTTTTTTTTACCGACCGTATTGTGTAAACAATAGGTAAGTTATGTGATGGCAACAAATTTTGCATATCGAGTTTTCGGTGGGAACGTACTTCTCCATAGTAGGGAAGTGTAAATAAACTATTTTTAGCAACCTGTCGGTCTGTCGGTCTGTCGGTCTGTGTGTGTACGCGTGTATCTCAAGTTCGGCCGAACCGATTTTGATGAAATTTTATATGTAAGTTTATTTCCACCATGGCACGGATCGATCAACTTTTGGTATATATCAGGCCTCGGGAACTGCACTTTTTAGCGGGCCTGTTTTACATTTTTGAGCATATTGAAGAACATATTCAACCGATTTACTTGAAATTTCATATATAAGTTTTGCTCTACCGGCGATGAAACCTCCTATCTTTTGGAAGAAATCAGGCGTCAGTAACTGGACGTTTACTACGGGCCAAATGTACATTTTTGTGTATATAAAGAGAAATAATCAACCGATTTCATTGAAATTTAATATATAAATTCCTCGTATGAAAACTATGAACATATAAATTTTTTGGAAATATCAGGACTCGAAAACTGATTTGCGGGCCGATTTTACATTTTTCACCATTTTGAAGAAAATATTCAACCGATTTACTTGAAATTTCATATATGAGCTTTGTTTGACCGTCCGTGAAAATTCCTAGCTTTTGGAACAAATCAGGTATCGGCAACTGGACGTTTACTACGGGCCAAATATACATTTTTGTGTATATAAAGAGAAATAATCAACCGATTTCATTGAAATTTAATACTTGAGTTTCTCGTATTAAAACAATGAACATATAACTTTTTTGGAAAGATCAGGGCTCGAGAACTGATTTGCGGGCCGACTTTACATTTTTCACCATATACACAGAACAAATTGATGGAATTTCTTGAAATTTGATATTTGAGTTCTGGTCGTTACCGAAACTAACTGGCGAGCATTTCAGGGAATTCGGGTAGCACAAAGCGAAACTCTACTAAGAGCCAAATTTACATTTTTCTAGGTATGTTAACTATAAGCTTACTAATGTCCTAAAAATTGGAAAGAAGTATTTAACAGACATTTTTATAATATTCTGTAACACTTTCACTTAACTAGACAATACACATTGCGGTCGGTTATGTGCTGACCACATCAGATTTTTTTAATTGTTATGTATAGCGGATTTTTTGTGATATACTGTAAAACTTTAAAATTTTGCGAATATCATCATCGCATCTCGGACATCTTGTGTAAAAATAACAAAAAGGCTTCACAGATTATGAGAATAGCTACCATATTTTTTATAAACTCATATTTCTAATCTTAATAATTGGCAAAAAAAAACTATATACATATATTATTTATTAATATATTTCAAGGTTAATTTGCTATGAGTTTCCACATGAGTTGAAAGGGTTACTTGAAAAATTAATTTTATTTTTAAAACCTTCCCCATTATTTTTATATTAAATTCTTTTATACATGTGTGACGGTCTGTACGCATTCTACTCATAAGTATTTTAAACTTTATTTTAAGCGTAAAATTTTAATAATTAGAAAAAAAAATTCTCATTAAATGGGGAAAATATTTAATTAAATCGTTTTACGTATATTTGATTAACTTTACCTCTATTAAAAGTATTTAATTACGATGTTTTTAAAAGTTAAACGAATCTTGAATACTTTTGTTTTTATTTTAAATGGAATTGAATTAATCTCAAACACAGTTCTTGTAGTACTTGTGGAAATGAACTGCTTATCAGGCAGTGTACAAGAAATACCAATTTTCTTCTAATATAATGAGTTATTATCCTTTTTCTTATTTGGTTTTTTTCTTTATTTTTATAAATAGGTACACATAATGGTTTTGTCATGATATCATGGGAATTTAATTATCCTTAAACGATTCAATCTCTTAAAATATTTTCTCTTCTACATCAATTCTTTTTTAATTCATTTTTATACAATCAGTATAATTTTTAAGAGGAAAGACGAACGTATTACTTTTAGCACTTAAAAATATAATTTATCCTTAAAAATCCTTTTTTTTTTTGTTCTTTTACTGTTTTTGTTGTTGTTTTCTTTCTTTTTTGTTTTCATAAGAAATTCTTCGTTTGGTGTCTGCGAGTTACTGTGAAAAATTTCAAGAACAAATTTCATTCAACGATTTTCTTTTTTTTCGTGTTCTCTTAAAGCTTTCCAAAAATTAAGTAAATATTTTGTTACTGACACACAAACAGATACACGCATAAGTATAAACTGTAAACCTTAGATATTTATATAAGAAGATAATTTCGGTAGAGAAGATGCGGAAAAAGAAGCCAGAAACAAAGAAGAATAAAAAGCGTTTTAAAAAAACTTTACAAATCACATTTAAGACTGAACAGGCGTTCAAGTGTGAACCTCTAATGTCCTTTTCATTTTGTTAAATTCTTGATATTTTTGTTGACAAAATTTTTAAATATTATTTTTAAATTCTTTTTTTTCTTCCGGATAACGTTACGAATACAAAAAAAAATGTACAAAACACACTTTTTTCGGATTGTCGCTTTTTATACAATTTCCATTTTCTTTTTTTATTGCTTCTCTTATTAACCGGGAAAGCTTACATTTATGAAAAGTTTCAAATTTTAACAAGAAGTAGGTATTATACAAATTTTTTTTACTTTTTTGCAATGTAATATCCTTTTCTTAACAAACGAAAATTAAAAACAAAATTAAAAACATTTTTGTCCGTCTTTAAACTGAAAATATTTTGTGTTTTGAATTCTCCTTTACTTAAAATCGTTTGAAATGAAAAATGGGAATGAATTTTACTGAATAAAAAAGTAGATGATGAATGAAATTGAAAATTACAGTGATGCTCAGAAAAATTTAAAGTTTTCCAAGGCAATAATCGGCTTGTATTGTATTTTGAGGAAATTTGAAATTTTCCTTTTAAAAAAAACGAAAAGAAAATTGGTTTTTTCATGTGAAGACTCAAGTCAATATCACTCTTTTCCCATCTTCTTGTATGCTAACAAAATACATAGAGCAGTGTGAGACAACAGGTCCAGGAAAACACAAAAAGTTTAGGCACATTTTAATTTTATTACCCATCTTCTAGGGTTTTGTTGCCACAAAATAACTTTTCTTACAAATTATCTAATTTTTAGCTTTTTGATTCTATCCCAAAAAATGTGACTCATGAAGTTCCTCATCTTTGTTCAAAATTTTCTTAACTTTTCCCTCAACAGATGTTTACTTAAAATTTCACACAGCTAACTTATTAGTTTTCTTATATAAAGTAAATGTTTGTATCCTGAATTTGAAAACCATATTTTAAGAAAAAGCATTTCTAC